GTTATGTGTACAAATTGAACTGATAAAGAGATGAAACGCACCCTTATCCAACACCTTTCCTATAGGAAATCATTCTGTCTCTCCATATTAAGTCCTAATGGTAGCTTTTTGTCCACAGTCCAGATTACGCATTAGAACAATCAAGTGCTGATGCACACCCATTTCTTTCAGAGCAACCTATAGTTTCTCATTATCTACACAGTCAAAGGCTTTGCTGTAGTCTATAGAGCAGTGGTTCACAACCTTGAGTAAGTTCTTGGAAGCCTTCAGCACCAGCTGTGCTGGCTAGGCTTTCTGGGAGTTGCAGTCCAGGAACACTTGGGTTACCCAAGGTTGGGAACCACTGCTATAGAGCATAAGTGATCTTCTGACATTCTTTGGTGCACTCTTAATACAGTGGAGCCTCGACTTACGGAATTAATCCATACTGGAACGGTTGCCGCAGGTTGAAAAGTCCATAGGTCGGGGGTCCATTTCCCATAGGAATGCATTGAAAACCCATTAATTCGTAACCGGCCAAAGAAAATAAAATCCCAGGCTTCCAAAGCTGCACCCGCTGCCTTTTGCTTCCTGTCTCCACGTGGGGACAGGAGGCCTAGAGTACCAGGGACAGGAGACAGAGGGCAGCGGGTGCAGCTTTAAAAGCTCAGCAAGCCGAAATCCGCTCCACGCCCGTTGCCGGCTTTTGCCTTGCCGAGCTTCCAAACCCCCTCCGCTGTCTTCTTGTCTCCTGTCCCCGTTGTGAGACAGGAGGCAGAGGCAATGGGGATGGGAGACAAGAGGGCAGCAGAGGGGGTTTGGAAGCCTGGCAAGCCGAAAGCTGGCAGTGGGGAGTGGCTTTCAGCTTGCCGGGCTTTCAAAGCTGGGGGTGGCTTTGATTCTCCCGCCCTTTCCCCCTGCCTTTTGTAGGTCGACGCTCCGGCCGCAAGTCGAATCAAAATTTTGCAGCCAGAGCTTTTTGTACCTCAAAATTTTTGTAAGTAGGGACATTCGTAAGTTGAGGGCCCACTGTAGCAAGTGGGCATTTGCAATATGATCTCAAGTGCCTCTTCCGTTTTAGAATCTAGGTTGAACATCAGGCATTTCTTGTTCATTATGAGGGGGTTCTGATAAGTATTGAGAAAAAATTGAGCTAGGAAGCTATAAATTGCAGGTTGTATCAGCCAATTTGTCTATATTCAACGGTGCAAAAATCAACTATGTTTTTAACTTTCATTTTCTGGTCCAAAGTGCACATTGCGGCAACTCCAGAAAAGTTCAGTGTGGAAGAGCATAGGACCATAAACAATTTCCTGTTTCTCGAAGAGAAAGGTGCAAAGCAGATCCATGATGAAATGTCACAAACTATGGGTGACACTGGCCCTTCATATGCAACAGTTAAATGTTGGGTTGTCAATTTTAAAACTGACCATTTTGGTGTTCAAAGTGAGAAACCCAGTGGAAGGCCTGTTTGTCTCTGTGCCTGCAAATGTGAAAGCCATCCATGACATGATCATGGAGGACCGCCGAATATCAGCCAAAAGTATTTCTATATATCTGATAATATCACTTGAGAGAGTTGGTGCCATTATCCACAATGACTTGGAAATGAGAAAGCTGGCAGCAAAGTGGATCCCCAAACTTTTGACAACCGAACAAAAGAGGAAACGTGTGGAGTCACAGGTGGCTGTTTTGGAACATTTTGCAAGAAATGAGTCAGATTTCCTGGGCAAATTGGTAACTGGTGAGGAGACATGGATCTACTGTTATAATCCTGAGACAAAGGAACAGTCTAAGGAATGGAGGCACATGGTTCCGCCAGGCCAAAGATGTTCCAAGTGCAAAGGTCAGTGCAGAAGCAAATGGCAACATTTTTAGGGATAAGAAAGGTGGTTCTGCTGGTGGACTACCTCCAACAGGGTTCAGCCATCAATGCAAAATATTACTGTGCTTTATTGACAAAGTTGAGGCAAACCATCAAGGAAAAACGTTGAGTAAAGCTCTCCAAAGATGTCATCCTGTTGCATGACAAAGCCTCATCATACACTGCAGGTGAAACAGTGGCAAAACTGACCCCTTAAGCTTCCAAGTGATGCCCCATCCACCCTATTCTCCTGACCTGGCTCCTTCTGACTATTACCTGTTCCCCAAACTCAGAAAACACATAAAGGGACAACGATTTGGGAGTGTTCTGGAGGCAACTGATGCTGCAAATGAGTGGTTACACCAGCAGTCGGAAGAATTTTATTTGCAGGGACATAAGAAGTAGATGTTGCAAGTGCATTGACTTCCTGGGGAAATATGTAGAATAGTGTGACAGTTACAGCTTCCTAGCTCAATTTTTTCTGGGAAAGGCTCAATACTTATCAGCACCCCCTGTATAAGGTAAAAGCCTTGAGCATCACTTTGCTTGTATGGGAAATTAAAGCAGTGGTTCTATAGTTAGTACACTCCTTGGCATCTCTTTTCTTGGGGATTAGAATGTATATGGAGCATTTCCAGTCTGTGGGCCATTTTTCTGTTTTCCATATTTGTTGGCACATTCTTTTTAAAATTTTAACATACTTGGTCTCTGTAGTATTCCATGTGTTTTAAGTATTTCATCTCTCTAAATTTGTCTTTTCTTTTTACTACATAAATGGTATTTTTGCGTTTTCCCCTGATATTCTCTGTTTTCAATTCATAGTTCTTCTGGTTCATAGACAGTTGAGTTTAGTAATTCAAACCTGTTCATTATGTGGACTTTTAATTAATCAGGCGTGCTTTTTAAATTATACTTTCGCAGTACCGTTCTTTTATTAACATGATCAGTACCACAGTCTGTTGCTTGTCTTGTTTTGGCAGAGAGAAAATAGCTTTGCCATCTCCTGCTTCCAGTTATGTAGTCTGCTTGATTTCTGTATTGACCATCCGGTGTTGTCTCCATATAAAGCTGTTGATTTGGTTGTTTGAAACATATATTTACAATAAACAGACTGTTGGCTTCACAGAACTCTAGGTCGTTCTCCTTCATTTCTTTTCCTTAGGCCAAAATTTTCAACAACATTTGGCTCTGCTTTGTTTCCTACTTTTTGTGTTCCAGTCACCTGTGATTATAAGCATGTCTTGTTGTGGTATGTGATCAATTTCTTCCTGTACGCTTGCATAAATCCTTCTGATTTCATCTTCTTCGGCATCTGTAGTTGGAGCATAGATTTCAGTGATGGTTAAGTTTTCCACAGAATGTGATTGATATTATTCAGTCCTTGTATTATACAGTGGAGTCTCGACTTACGTTCGGCTCCACTTATGAACTTTTCGACCCACAGACTTCTCTGGCCGCAAAGTTTCATTTTGACTTGCAGCCGGAGAATCGACCTACGGACCAGAAGGCAGAGGCGGGGAAAGCGCCAAATTCAAATTTGGTGCTTTCTCCGCCTCCCCCTTCCGGTCCATAGGCTGCAGGTCTAAGCCCAGAAAGCCCAAAGCTGACAGAGGGCGAAGGGCGGCTTTTGGCTTTTCGGCTTCCTCCCTGGGGGAGGTGGGGAAAGCTGAAGGCACTGGGGACATGAGGTAAAAAGCCAGTGGGTCCAGCTTTCTAAGGCTCCATGGCTGACAGCGGGCGCAGGGCGGCTTTCCGGTTTCCAAAGCTGCAAGCAGGGAGAGGCGGGGAAGGCCGAAAGCCACTCTGTGCCCGCTGTTGGCCTTGGAAGCTTAGAAAGCTGGACCCATTGGCTTCTTGCCTCATGTCCCCAATGCCCTCTAGGCACCAAGGACAGGAGGCAAGAGCGCAGTGGGGCCAGCTTTCTATGCTCTGAAAGCCCAAAGCTTTCTAAGAGCCGAAAGCCAATCCGCCCAAAAGCCACTCCGCGCCCGCTGCCGGCTTTCTGGGCTAAAAAGCTGGACCCACTGGACCCTTGTCTCCTGTCCCCGGGTGGGATAGGAGGCAGAGGACAGTGGGGACAGAAGGCAGAGGGCAGCGGGGGCAGCTTTGGAAGCCCGGGATTTTTTTTCTTCAGCCAGTTACGGATTAATGGGTTTTCAATGCATTCCTATGGGAAATGGACCCTCGACCTACGGAATTTTTGACCTGTGATCACAGTTCTAATACGGATTAATTCCGTAGGTTGAGGGTGCACTGTAGTCCCTAACTGCCTGTGCTACATTTTATCTCATCACTAGAGCTACTGCATTTCTTCTGAGTTTGTGTGTGTTGTAGTATAGGATGGGTCCATGAAAACTGAAAATAGTATTGGCTGTGAAACATGGAGAAATCAATTTGCTTGTCCCTAATGCAGTATTCTTGTTGCTAATTCAAACTTACTTGTAGTGATAGCATTAGATGTGCGTTTTTCCCTACAATTACTATGTGTTTTGTTTTCTATTCAAGTTTTGAATTGAAAGGATAGGAAGGAATTCAGTACCATCAGTTGCATGATTAAAGTACTAATGTAAAGTGTGTACATCTTATACACTGCAGTGATTACATGTTTAAAACAGCTTGTGGCACAGGTCTGTCGGCTTAGTGTGCTTAATCACCACAGTATTGCTTGCGCACATAATTGGAGATGGGGGTATTCGTATATGAATACGAATATCCCCCCGCACAGGTGGAAATAGTGCGGGTCCGGCTCCATGGGGCCAGATAGTCCACTCACAATTTCTCTGCTGCTGCCGGCTCTGCATAGACTTCCTATCGTGCCATTCTTCTCAATGGATAGCCACTCTGCGACTTAGCAGGGAGGTTTGTCATCCCACCTCCTGCCAGGAGTGGGTAATCGATTGCAGACAGTGGCGTGATAGGAAGCCTCTGCAGAGCTGGCAGCAGCGGTGAAATTGTAAGTGAACCATCATTATTTCCACCTGTATGGGGATATTCGTATTCATATACACATGCCCTCATCTCTATACATCATAGCTGTGATTTACTTTGAACAAAAATCTGTCTTGGGGTCTGCTGTAATGTGTGGATGTGTCGAATTGTGGGGATTATTCTTTGATTTTGCTGGCAATGTCAGATTGTCTCTCATTCTTGTTCATAGGCCATGAAACAAAAGTGGTTGCTGTGTGCAGCACTGCTGTTAGCTGGGATCTCTCTGGTCTTGGCACATGATGTGGATGATGATGATGATGATATAATAGATGTTGAAGATGACATTGAAGATGGGGTTGAAGACATAGAGGAATTGAAGCATGAAGCCACCACTCCACCTCCACTCCCAAAGGTTTGCTTGAATACTTCATTCTTCAGCCGATCTGTAAAAAAGTCACGTGCAGTATTTTACGAGTACTCCTTTTACAGAGATTGAGTTGAATCTGTTACTTTTTTAAACCATAATTTATTCTGATTTTAACTGGTCCAGTAGCTGAGAACCATGGGGGCCAGCATTTATTTCATTTGGTTTGAGTCTTTATGTAGACAGTGGTAATTTCAATCCTTGCTTTAATTGCTGTACTACTCAAAGTAACTTCTCTGGGTATTTGCAGCATGGAGCATTTTGCACAGAGGAACTGGGATAGTAAGTTTGTTTGTGCTTTGTTTGAAGCCAATATTGTTTGGAATTATAACACCTGTTTTGTGTACTGTATATATGGCCAACAAACCATTGTTTGAAAGTCAACCTAGAAACATGTAGATGTGTGCTGATTAGAAATGGGGATATTCATATTCATAAACAAATATGAATATCCCCTTCCCAGCTGGACCTAATGAGGTTTCGCCCCCTGGGACCAGCTCATCCACTCACGCGTTCCAGCACCACAAATGCCCCACTCTTTCCACCAGTGGTGCCAGCAGCTCTGTGGGGAGACAGCAGAGCTCCTGGTGCCATTAGCAGGAAGAGTGGGAACTTTGCGACCACTGGACATGTGAGTGGATGGGCCAGGCCCTCATTAGGCCCAGTTAGGACAGGGATATTCATATTTGTTTACGAACATGAATGTCGTCATCTCCAGTTCAGATTGTTCTTTCAGCTCTCATTCTCCTTTTGGACTACTGAATTACTTCCTTTTAAGGCAAAAAGAAGAACAATATATACAGTACTGTGGGTTGCTGACATAGTAGTGCATTACCAACCCACTTTGGAACATGTATCAGGAAGTGAAATGTGTAAGTGACAGGGTAGATTAAAATCAGTGATATTAGAATTAAAAATGGATTTTTAAAATTTAATCTGATTTAAAAAAAATTAAATCAAATTTATCTTAACAAAATGCTTTTGGAGGAAAATCTAAAGATAGTTTTCTATTTAAGATACATTATAGTTCAAAGGTTGTTCAGCATGAAATAGAACTTAGTTATATAGCGTAAAGCTGTATATTCATACAACTTTTCTTTGCAAACTAATTAATTTATTCCAAATTAATCCATGCTGAGATAATATGCACTTTTCACAGTAATTCCAGTATAAAATGAACAAAGTTCAGGAAAAAACTTAATCACATTATTGTTCTGCAAATCTATGTACAAACAATGAACACATGGATGTTTAAGTACAAGAATATGTATGGTATATAAAGATACTGTTTTAGTTAAATAAAACAATTTAAGTAGTTATCTAAATTTGAGTGATTAACCTATTAAACTAAAATCTGTTCTGATATTACTGTTTTACTAATCTGGCAAGTTATTATTCTAAATATAAATTTTTCATTTGGTTGCAAATATTAAAGATTATAACTACAAGAATGAGTCTTTAAATCTAAAAATCATGATTGAAATCAACTTAATTTAAATCAAATCCACCCTGGAAGTGATGACCTTTTAACCTGGAATTAAGGACATTTGGAGTTCTAATGTACAAATCAAGAATGAAAACGTCAATGTGATATAAATTCATTTTAAACAGTGTTCGGGAAATGTTCAGTTTAGTTTGTTAGTTCATCTTTTTCCCATCAGGTTACATATAAGGCCCCAGTCCCAACGGGAGAAGTTTATTTCGCTGAAAACTTCGATAAGGGAACTTTGGAAGGGTAAGTGAAAGAGGTACTAGTAGATTTCCAAAGGAAAAGTTTTATCCATTAGTCTGCTTATAAACTTTTTTTTCTGCCTCTATGTATGGTGTTCAGCCAGCTCATGTGGTGATCCTCCAAGTTAATTTTCATCAAAGAGGAATAACACACCAGCAGGTGTTGAGAAATAAGGAAGTCAGCCTAGTTCAGACATGAACTCTCTATGATCAGTTATAGCTTCCATAATCCCTAATCAGCATAGCAGGTGATATGGAATAATAGGAAATCCATTCCATGATATGAACGGCTATGTTTTTCTCACCTGTGGCATAGACAAAGGCTTTGCTTTTAAAAAAAAGTCTTACACCTTGCCTGAAATGTTACTCACTTATTTGCTTTGATTGATTCCATGGTCTAGGGCCATTACTCTCCTTCCCTCAATGACCCTGTGAGATAGGTCAGTGGTTATCAGAGAAAGCCAGGCTCTTCTGCCAAAGCTGAACGCCTGGACACTGAGATGGGCACTTCTTGCTTGTTTGATGGAGAGAATTTGCAGAACCAGTAGCTTATTCGCAACAAAGCAGTGACTGAAGTCCAGTCACATTAAGTTAACGCCGTGTAAGTCTAATGACATCATCTCCCATAGCCATATTTGTTAAAAAAATGTTTCCTATCCCACTCTCTACACCTTCCAAGGCTTCCTTAGATTCATTTTAGTCCTGGGGAACTCTTTGGGGAGAGCAGGTTGCAGGGAAGTCTGAAAATCGTTTGTGTTGGTCCTGCTGCCGCTGTAGTGATTTTTGGACATCTGACCTTTCCCAGAACCAAAGAGATTCCAAGGAGGCCTATGAACCGTAAGGGAAGGGATAAGAAACCTTTTACTAACAAAATAGGTCCACAGCTGATGACATAATCAGGCTTATGTGGCATAAATGTACATTCTTGGACATCACCCATTAAGTTATATGTTCTTATCCCAATATTTAATAAGACTAAAGTCTGATAATGTTCAGTTAAATTGTTGCAAGATGTTTGTCACAAGACATATTCAAAGTCTTTGTTAAATGTCTGCTTGCCATGCAACTCTTCATTAGAAAAAATTGTTTGTTTATTAGGTGGGCTCTTTCCAAGGCTAAGAAGGATGATACAGATGATGAGATTGCCAAATATGATGGTGAGTATTGCATGTTGCTCAGTCCTGGCTATATGTTGTGACTTGATAAGTGGGGGTGGATGGAATCATGTCTCTAGCTATAAGCATTGAACTTAAAAATGGCAGTGTTTTTGCTACCCTTTGTTGATGAAGAATATGTACATGGAGTTAAAATATCAAAATGAAAATGCCTTGTATAAAACTATTCATTAGGGGTGTGCCGTTTCATGTTTTTGGAATGCAACCCTCAGAATTCTTCAGTAATTCTCCAAGCAGAATGCTGGGAACCGTAGCCCACAAACATAAATCTGCAGACATCTACATTTTGCTTCCCTTCTCCTGAGAAGGCTTTTAAAAAATTTTAAATTTATTTTCGATGCTGACTTAATTTTCTCTCACTCACCCCCTCCGGCTGCAGTGCTTCCTGGGACTCATAGTTCTTCAGAAGTGCCTGTCGTACCCCTTCTCTGTGATACTGATGTCAGAAATCCCTTTGTCTTTGATTATTTATGTAATGGTTTCTTTAAATAGCCACAGGAATAAATGTGTTTTCTTTAATTTCCGCCTCTTTCCTCTTTCGCTCCCCTGATGTGTGTTGTACTTACCACTTCACTCAGGCTCTTACACCACCCTCCACTTATTTATCTCTTAAGGCTTGAATAGAATTAATAAGGTTTTATTAAAACAACAATGTTGAAAGAACGTTGCTTATTCCTAGGCTTCAAATCTGTTCAGACCAATTCTTCAGTGTCTCTGTCACCTCTCTCCCCGTCAAACCTCCAAATGCAGACATCTCTCCAAATGCCACTCTCAAGACTCCAAAATCACCCTTTCTTTGATCTCTTCACCAGATTGCTCAAAAACCTCACCAACGTGCCACTCCTCTAGTTCCTCCTGCCAATCATAACTATTCATATCAACATTCCATGCGTCTCACTCACCAACTCCCATTACATACTTACCAAACCTTTGAATCAATACATTTAAACATAACTGGGAATCACAGTGCCCACTGTATTGCCTAATGGGCAGCAAGAGTACAAGTCACAGCATCCTCTGCACCCAGGAAGACCTAGCCACTGGGTTGTTCATGAGATGGCAGGGTAGGGGTGACTAACGAGATGGAAAGATCATCGGGAGAAATAGTCTTGATGCCCGTTAGGCTCTACAGAAGGCATCTGCTCAAGAATTACAATTTCCAGGAAGCACCACAGTGGGAAGTGGGTGAGTGACAGGAAATGAAGTCAGCATTGCAGGTAAATAACTGAAAGAGGCCTTCTATGTGGGAAAATCCTGCCCAAGGCCGTTGGTTGTTATCTGTTACAGTGAGAGCAAACATTCCTGGCAGAGAAGTAGCAGCTCCTAGCGGGCGGGGTGACCTCTCATTCTGCCTTTCTGCTTAGAGTTAGAGCAGAAGTTCAAAGACTTTCTCCGGCCAATCCTAGTGGCGATTAGGATACTAGTATCCTATCTGAATTCTCACAACATACAATGTAATCCTTGCTGTATTAATAAAAAGGGTTCTCAAGGCGTTGCCTGGGGGATCTGCTGGATCCACTGGATCCGACATCTGTTTGTCAGACTTCTTTGCAATTGCCTTCCTATTATTCTGTGATCATCCACATCATTAGCCTTTCTTTGTTCTGTGATCACCTACACTTCTATATAGAGTCGAAATCTAGACATTTGTAGATCTGTGTTTGTGGAGAGTAATTCCCAAAATTCTGCCTGGGGAATTCTTGGAGAATTCTGGGATTTGGAGTGCAAAAACATGGAAGAGCACACACCTACTGATTAACTTTCTGTATAACAGTGGGGTCTTGACTTACGGAATTAATCCGTATTGGAAGGCAGTCCGCAGGTCAAAAAGTTTGCAGGTCAAATATGCATTCCCCATAGGAATGCATTGAAAACCATTTAATCCGTATCTGCTGTTTTCCGTCCATAGAAACTAATAGGAAGCTGCTATTCTGCATTCTACCACTAGAGGGGGATATTTTTCTTTTTTATTAGGTCAAGAAAAGTCCAGGAAAGGAGGGGGAAGGCAGGGAACAATTTCCAAAGCACTTTTGAATGTTTTTTTCATCTTGAAAAGCACCTTTTCAGCCAAGCCAAGCACCTTTTGGGAAAAAAGGGGCAGCAAAGGAGGGAGGGAACACCTTTTAAACCAAGCACCTTTCAGACAACAGAACAGCTTGAAAAGCACCTTTTCAAGCAAGCCAAGCCTAGCACCTTTTGGGGGAAAAGGGGCAGCAAAGGAGGGAGGGAACCTTAACCCCCCCCCCAGCAAGGCACAGAATCCAGCAACCATTCCTCCAGCACAAAAATGCCTAAGGAGAACCTCTACCTTTGAGCTGGTCTCTTGCCTCAGCATGGTCAGTCCAGCACTTGGTGGTGGTGGTGGTGGCGAGAATCCTTGCCCGGGGGGAAACTATGGCTGCGACCCGGTGGGATTGTTGCCTCTGAGGAGGGCAGGCAGGAGCCAGAGAAGCGAAGCGCGTGGGAGTAGAGGGAGGAGAGCCAGCCTGGGGAGGGCCTCTGCCCCACTGCTGCCACAGGAGCAGGTGAGGGGGAGAGAGCAGATGGCAGGTCCGCTCTCCTCAGGGGAGGGGAGGAAAGTGAGGCAAGGCATGGCCATGGTCAGGGTGGGCATGGAGGGGAAGAGCAGCCATGACGGGCCTGACCTACCCTCCTCCTCCCAGGGGACTTTGCTCCTCCTCCCGGGAGTCCGGGCATGGCTGTGATCGCACGGCTCAGCTCCCGGCAGCAGCGGCGGCCAGAATCCTTCCCCAGGTGCAGGTGAGGGGGAGAGAGGAGACGGCAGGGGAGGGAAGGAAAGTGAGGCAAGGCATGGCCATGCTCAGGGTGGGCATGGAGGGGAAGAGCAGCCATGACGGGCCTGACCTACCCTCCTCCTCCCAGGGGACTTTGCTCCTCCTCCCGGGAGTCCGGGCATGGCTGTGATCGCACGGCTCAGCTCCCGGCAGCAGCGGCGGCCAGAATCCTTCCCCAGGTGCAGGTGAGGGGGAGAGAGGAGACGGCAGGGGAGGGAAGGAAAGTGAGGCAAGGCATGGCCATGGTCAGGGTGGGCATGGAGGGGAAGAGCAGCCATGACGGGCCTGACCTACCCTCCTCCTCCCAGGGGACTTTGCTCCTCCTCCCGGGAGTCCGGGCATGGCTGTGATCGCACGGCTCAGCTCCCGGCAGCAGCGGCGGCCAGAATCCTTCCCCAGGTGCAGGTGAGGGGGAGAGAGGAGACGGCAGGGGAGGGAAGGAAAGTGAGGCAAGGCATGGCCATGGTCAGGGTGGGCATGGAGGGGAAGAGCAGCCATGACGGGCCTGACCTACCCTCCTCCTCCCAGGGGACTTTGCTCCTCCTCCCGGGAGTCCGGGCATGGCTGTGATCGCACGGCTCAGCTCCCGGCAGCAGCGGCGGCCAGAATCCTTCCCCAGGTGCAGGTGAGGGGGAGAGAGGAGACGGCAGGGGAGGGAAGGAAAGTGAGGCAAGGCATGGCCATGCTCCGGGTGGGCATGGAAGGAAAAATGCAGCGATGGAGGGAGGGGAAGCAGCCACGACGGACCTGACCTACCCTCCTCCTCCTCCTCCTCCCAGGGAGCTCAGATCCGGGGCAGGGACTGTGCCGGCCAATGCGCTCTTTTCCCCGCCGTCCCGTCCCCTCTTCCCAAGATCCCTCGCCCAGCCTCCGAATCAACAGGAGGGGAGGAAAAGTCAGTTTGAACTTTCAGTTAGCCAACAGTTAACTGAAAGTTCAAATTTCGCACTCTCCCCGCGTTTTTTTCTCCCTTCCGTAGATCGAAGTAAAGTTCGCAGGTCGAGGAAATATTTTCCTCTCAAAGTGGTCCGGAAGTCGAAAAGTTCGTAACTCGGGCAGTTCGTAAGTTGAGACCCCACTGTATATAATAGAAACACAGTAGTAGTAGAATTCATGTGCAAATATTTACTAGAGACAAGGCAATATATATATCTTATTTTCAATTTTTATCTTACCTTTCTTCTATCTGGCCAACTAACATAGGATATTTCATTACTTTTTCCCCTCAAGAATAATTGGAATAGTTTAAGCCGAGTGAGAATAACTGGCTCAAGATCACCCAGTGAACTTCATGCCTATGTAGGGTTTTGAAGTGATCTCTCTCGAGACATAGCCCAGCATTCTAAGCACTAGACTACATTGGTTCTTAGCCTTGGGTTACTCAGGTGTTTTTGGACTGCAGCTCCCAGAAGCTTTCACCATCAGCTGTGCTGGCCGGGGTTTCTGGGAATTGCAGTTCAAAAACACCTGCGTAACCCAAGGTTAAGAACCACTGCACTAGACTACATTGGTTCTCCTCAGTAGCACCAAAAAGAGAAAGTTATGCTGAAGTGTAGTGAAAACAGTTTGATAGCACAACTTCAGTAGACTCTACCTCTACAGTATTCCAGCATCATTCCCATAGAGAGAATGTATTACAAAAAAATAGGCATTTTTGGTGATTTTTTTTTAGTATTATTATTATTTTTGCTCTTCCACCCCCACCCCCAATCCCGAGTAGACCTCCACTGAGCAGTGCTCCCACTAATGTTGATTAGAATCCAGTTCGTAGTTGCTAGACTGTAATTTGACTATAGTGTGTTTGAGTTTTGTAAACAAAGTTACTTTGTTGCATAAAGTTACCTTTACTTGTAAATTGAATCTGTAGATAAGCAGTAACTGAACTTTGAATATGAGTTTTATTAGTAAAACCAGTTAAGTGATTAACATAATGAAACCCATGCAGCAGTCAGTGTAAATAAAAAGACTAGAAACAGCATGTCAGTTTGTAGGATTTGCTGCGAAAACAATTAGAAACAGCAAGAGAGTCTTGATGACATTTTCTCTCACTTCTTATAGGTAAATGGGAAGTGCAAGAAATGAAAGACACTAAACTTCCAGGGGATAAAGGGCTTGTGCTGGTTTCCAGAGCGAAGCATCATGCAATTTCTGCCAAACTTAACAAGCCCTTTGTTTTTGATACCAAGCCCCTCATTGTACAGTAAGTGGAAATAGGTTTTTTCCCCCCATTTGATTGACTTCATTTATGTCAGAAGCAAATGATCCTTCTGGGATGGAAGGAGCAACTGATAGATGCATAGACACTGAATAGTTGATCTTTTGTAGAAAAGCATGCTAAGTATTGTACTCACTCATATGATGATTTAGTGGTTATGCCACTTTGCAGCAAAAGCAAACAGTTCTGTTTACTTGATCGAATCAGTGATTATTCTTTTGTGGAATCCTACATCAAAGTATCTTACTGCTTTTTTCTAGACTGAACCATGGTTTTGCTGTCAGAAATCTGTCTTTAGTTCATAACTCATTTAGTGCACATTTGCTAAGTGAAGAGGCCATCATTTGTCTTGAAAGCTGAATTGGCCAATGTATGGTTTGCCTCCTGAAGAGAATTAAAAACCAGAATTTAAAACTAGGTTTTCAGTTCCTAGTTTGGAGGCAAAGCAAGGAAATAATCTGAGGATAGGAAATGAGGAGACCTTGATGTCTGTTATGTGCAATTGCCATCAAGAAAAAGAAATAATAGTGCTTTGTTTTTTGTTTTTATTTGTAAATGACAATGTATCCTTTGCTCTCCTAAACTCTATTAGATATGAGGTGAATTTCCAAAATGGAATTGAATGTGGTGGCGCATATGTGAAGTTGCTTACTAAAACTCCTGACTTGAACCTGGTAAGTGTGTCCTGCAGTTGCTAATGTCACTGAAAATATCCGTGGATTGCTAACTTTAACTAAGCATCTGTGTTTCATAATTTTGTATTACAGCAACAAACAAGACTGTAAAACTGCTGTTGCTCTAAATAACATTCTTTTTAAAAAGTACTGTATTTGCCAGCGTATAAGGCGACTGGGCGTATAAGATGACCCCCCCCCCAACATTTCCACTCAAAATGTAGTTTGTTATATACTTGTTGTATAAGACTAGTATTCTTACTTTGGCTGCATCATGGGGAGAGTTCCTTTTGCCGCTTTTGGTTCCTTTCGCTGGGAGAGAGCCAGAGTTTGCTGGAAGAAGGACAGCATCAGCGCCGAACAGCTGACTGTCAGGAACCAGCAGAGAGGCGGCAGCCATTTTGGAGAGGCGGCAGCCATTTTGGAGAGGCAGCAGCCATGTGGTTGCATCTCAGAATGGCTGCCGCTTCTCTGCTGGTTCCCGACAGTCAGCTGTTCGGCACTAGAGTCAGGCTGTTCCCAGGCTACCAAGGAGGAGCGGGCTCGGTCTACTCGTAAGTGACTTCGCTGGGAGAGAGGGAGGGTTTGCTAGAAGTGCACCCGGCGTATAAGATGACTTGGAGACATGTTTTTCAGGGCCAAAAAGTCGTCTTGTATGCTGGCAAATACGGTAAATGTTTTTGTGTTTTGAACCAAAAGATGGAAGACAACAGCTTGCCTCAAGAGCTGATTTATACTGCATTTTTGAAACACTGTCTTTGTATATCATTTAAAGGATCACTTCCATGACAAAACTCCTTACACGATCATGTTTGGGCCAGACAAATGTGGGGAGGACTACAAATTGCACTTCATCTTCCGACACAAGAACCCGAAGACCGGGAAGTATGAAGAGAAACATGCAAAGCGACCTGATGCAGATTTGAAGAACTACTTTACTGACAAGAAGACTCATCTGTACACGTTGGGTAAATTACATATTTTGAAATAGAGGGTTGTTTGTGAAATTCCAATTTAGATAGCTCTTATGGAAGGTAGGAAAGAATCTGAGAGCACTTGTTTGCAACAGTGGACTGGATTTTAGTGCAAAGTGAATATTTTCTTTTCTACTTCTTCTATCTCAGGGAACAAGCCTTGATTGACAGAACAACTTATTGTAGCAGAAACTAGGCATTTTGATAGACAGTGAAGTTTCTAAAAAAGGTTAGCTGATATGTGTAGTTTGCTGATGGGCAGTGTAACAAACAGTACTACAACACTGTTGAAAGCCATTGGCAGCAAAAAAGGCTTCTGTTTCGCATCTGAAGAAAACAATAGATTGAAGGGGGACCTTCTTAGTGTTAAATTATTTTCCTTGCCTTCTGAAAAAGTTATTGATTTATCTTTATTTTCTTTGGTGGTTATCTTAGTTTTGAAGGCAGACAACAGCTTTGAAATTCTGATTGATCAAATGGTTGTAAACAGTGGGAATCTGCTCTCTGATATGACCCCCCCTATAAATCCACCACGTGAGATAGAGGACCCAAATGATCAGAAGCCAGAAGATTGGGATGAGAGAGCAAAGATTCCAGATCCAGAGGCAGTTAAACCAGATGATTGGTGAGTAGGTATTGAACTTTCAGAAGTCTGAAAAAACAGCAACATTTTCACATTTTGTGGGTCATAAAAAGATGTATAAAAGGATGTAAGTGGTGGTGTGATGTAGTGGATAGAGTGATGGAGTAGGATTCTGGAGGACAGGGTTTGAATACCCATTTGGCCATGAAAACTTTGGGGGGGGGAGTAGAAACCACTCCTTAAATCTCTCACTTACCTTGAAAGCCCCATTAGGGTCACTCTAAATTGGTTCCAACTTGACAGCACAGAACACACACAGGCTCTGTAATTCTACTATGTCATTTATCTACACAAGGACTGTACAGAAAATGTTGAATCCTAGGAAGTTTAAAAGTGAACTTGGGTACAGTTTCTGTAACTGGTGTTCTGTGAACTTTGTCACAGCTTAAGCAGAGTGCAAAATAGCCTAACAATTGTGTACTCTGGCTACACTGTAATAGTAGGCAGTATCAGTCATTTCAGCTATTTTAAAGTTCTTTGCTATCAGGTTGCCTACTTCCCTTCCCAGCTAAGAGGAGTCTGTCTTCAGATTGGATAAGAGGTAGGAGATAGGGCAACTCTGGCTTTTGGTTTGCACATTACTGCACTTGTCATCTGTGCCGCTGTTAATATTTCTGTTTGCTGAGGACACAAGCTGGCTAAGAGTTTTAAAGAGTACGTTTAGCAAGGCTCCAAACTCTCCTCTAACACAATTTCTATCTGTGTTATATCAATCTTTAGCAAAGTAAGAGCAGTGACACTGAAGTTACTGGCATTCGCACAAGGCAGTGCATCTTGAGTTTGCCCATTAGTTTATCTGGTTTGGCTCAGTCACTGCTCCTGGTAAAGAGGGGAAAGCCTTGAGCAAGAGATTGAGTTTTGCTTGCTTTTCTTTAACCTTGAGGGAAGAAAACCAGGGTGTCTTGTGCACAAACTTCTCTTGTCTCTTGAAAGAGTCTCCATTTTTCTGTGAGAATAGCTGGCAGGGCTAAAAAGCCAGGCCCACACTCTGTTGGTAAGCGTGGAACACTGTAGTGGCCTTCTTTGCCTAAGACAAAGAAACTGTTGGGTGTGAGAGAGCAGACCAAAGATTTCTGAGACCAGAAAAAAAGCCAATTGAGCGAAGATGATATATCTCTTGGGGCATGGGTATCAATGTTTGGGCACCACTGCAGAGAAGCCCATTTCTTTTGTTACCAACAGTTGTACTGGTGTGGAGGGTAACGTACTGAAAAACATTTTAACTGATCATAAAGGATGTAATAGATTGTTTAGATGGAAACAGTCCTGAAAGGTATTCTTTAAATTGTTGAGGGCTTTGGTGACCAGCACCATTAATTGTGTTCAGAAGTAATAAAGCAGCCAGGAAAGCTCTTAAGGAGCAAAGTAACACTTTGAAAACATTAACAGTGATCTTTATTTTTGTTGTCTTTCAGGGATGAGGATGCTCCTGCTAAGATACCAGATGAGGATGCCGTGAAGCCAGAAGGTTGGTTAGATGATGAACCAGAGTATATTCCTGACCCTGATGCAGAGAAGCCAGAGGATTGGTATGTAAACACTGGTTCTGTGTTACATGGTTCTCAGTCTTAAACTCTCTGATAGTAACTGTCTAAGTCACCTTTAAATTACGAGTTGTTGGGGTTTTTTAAATATAATTGATCATTTCAATAACATGAAAAAATAGATGTTAGGGTGTGCAGCATCTTCAGTGTTAAATCCTGTTTTAAATTTAGTAATTGGTATCTAGTTGTGCTTATGAGACATGGCCAGATATATTGCAGTATTGGCCCACTGCATGCCATATTTTTGGCCTCACTTTTTCAGAGATTTAATACAGTCCTGCTTCTCAGACTAACATTTCCATTTGATTTGCTGTGATTTAGAAATATTCCATAGGCTGTTCCCATTCTGTTAAAAAAAAAAGTAGTCAGTCCCAGCTGTGGGGTGGGTCTAATACATTTACAACTAACCTTAATATTGCATAGCCCTTGACCCCTAGATTGACTCCTAGGTTATTTTGTATTGCCATACTATATTCCTAAGATACAAGGCTATTGTGAAGAGCATGGGAACATGGTGGAAATCTTCTAAATTATGCATGTTGTGGGAATTTTGACAAATGGTTTTTTTTTCCTAATTCTGTTAATACTAGAATTTGTTCATCTAGGGCAATCAGCAGTAGACTCATGTTAGGAAACGATGAGCTTTGTAAAGTAGATGGTTGGATTTCAGTAGGTTTTTTTCTCCCCATGAATGAGTCTAGACCCCAGTCAGTGAAAGCAGAGTATGTTCTCACAGAACATTGTAATAGTTATGGCTTTAGGGCCTTAAAAAGTGAATGAGACAAATTTATGTAGAGCAGGTCTGCTAGTATTTAGCACGATGTTTGGAGACTAAAGTCATTTGTGAACGAGTTGTGCCTGCATTTGTGTCTGTAGCAAGGGACTTGCAGAGAGGAGGAGAGGCTGTTGCCTTCATATCACCTGTTTTGGCCTCCCTGAAAACATCCAGGGAGGCGAAGAAGTGCATTAATTGGAAGTATCTCAGTACTTGTCACAGCAAAGTTGGTTATTATAAAATATCGTTTCTACTGACCAGGATGACCGATAAAGTGGCATGTTGATGACATTTGCAGGCAATACATATATTTTATAACAAACATGGATGACATACATGGACATTGCATGCATTTATATGTATGATGAATCCTGTAAGTTGCATGGCTAGTTCAAAACCAATATTGGACATATATGATTTACTTGTTGATAAAAGGTTATTGTGGGGTGTGAGGAATTTTCTTTGCTAGACCAGTTGAGTTGGCTAGTAATATCTCCTGGGGTCTGTCTAGAGAGCATGACCTGTTGCGGTGAACTCTGATCTGATTTTTTTCACTGCCTCAAGACATCTAAAGCCAGTTTGTGTAGCAATGTGTGGGCATATGCATTCTATTTCAGAAACACCAAAGGTGCAGAGTTCAGGCTCTAAGCAACAGGTTTGATCAAACATCATTCTTAAATTTGATAGAGGATAAATAAAGGTGTGGGGAGGAGAGAATGTTAATCTTCGTATATTTTTAGAGATGATTGCAGCTGGCTTGAATAGCTTCTTAAGTTAGGTTTCTGGCTGCAGAGAAGTAAGGAGTATTGGTAAATCACTTTTGAGTACTCTGTATGTAGCCTAGAAAACTCTGGAAAGGGTCACCAAATGTTAAAGTGGATTTGATGGCACATAATTAATTTATTGCAGTGGTTTAAGTTAGATGGATCAATTCTATCATAGTTATTGTGTGATAGAATTTGAATATGATAGTTATTCATTCATTACTTCATTCTATTATAAAATACTTCTAACAGCCTCTTTTGCTTAAAACAGTCTGTAAGCCTTGCTCGTTAGAGAATTGTGCTTCCTGGAGGCTTTCTAAAGTTTTAAACAGTAGGAAAAATAAACATATTTCCTAAGTCAGGAAGATTATATTGCACAAATTCTGTATTTCCAAACACTGGAGTTACGATTTGTAAGATACATCAAAGACATTGTTTTCTTTCTTTAAAAAAATAAAAAAAAGAAAGAAAGAAACTTTGGGGTCCTAAAACAAGAGTTTCCTCTTTCAGGGATGAAGATATGGATGGAGAGTGGGAGGCACCTCAGATTGCAAATCCCAAATGTGTGTCAGCCCCTGGCTGTGGTGTCTGGCAGCGGCCAACTATTGACAATCCTAACTATAACGGCAAATGGAAGCCTCCCATGATTGATAACCCAAACTACCAGGTAAACTATCGTGTGTTGTAGGTTCTGAATGTATCTATTAAAATAATTGTAGTTTGGCTTCTATCAATATATCTCAGTGCAGAGTCCAGTAAAGAAATTCATGCAGTTTAAATAATTTGAAATAATTAAAATGTAATGAAACACTTTATAATCCTTTAACAGTTCAAGCACACTGAAAGATTAAACACCTATCATCTCTTTTAAGTACAAAATACCTTGGTGAACAGCCAGGTTTTAACTCAGCACTGAAGTAAAGGCACTGTTAACACCAGCCCAGCTTTCATGGGGATAGGATTCCATAACTGTGGCTCTGCAGCTGAGAAAGCCTGCTTTCCATTACAGGATATAGGGGAGAGCTTTCCCAGGAAATTGTAATTGTAGGCAGGTATGTATGGGAAGATGCTGTCCCTCAGATAATTGCATTAGCCTTCTAGGCCTCTGTCTAGGTAGGTTCTTGGTACACTGTGCCAGTTTATTCAGCTCCCGGCGTTCAACTAAGTGTTGGAGCATGACAGAAGGAGAAATTGCTCTACAGCAAGGAGGCACTTGCATTTTTGTGCAGAGGGAATTTGAGTGGCCCAAGGCATGAAAATTTTCACACTAGTGAGACTACCTTTAATATGGGAAGACAGTATCAGAGTTTCATAGCACATTTAAGCTTCTGTGGACTCAGTTTCATGTCATCAGACACATGAGCTGCTATCTCATTTGCAGGTATATAAAACATGGGTGGTGGGATTCATCGTGGTCAGTTTGGGAATAAAATGCAAAAAGTATAGAGAAGGACAATACAGTTAGCAAGTGTGTGCCATATTAGCACAGGGGCATGTGATAGTCTGATAAAGACAACCGTGCTGATTTAATTCAGGAATGTGAGAGGACAGGAAACCATTATATCTTATTTAGATTCAAGTGAGCAGACAGAACTTTTTGGGAGAGTTCTACTTTGTAATCGCTAGACTAAAATGCTAAATAAAACAACATATTTTGATGCATTTTAATTGTTCATATTCAAGGTGCCACAGCACTTTCTTTTTGCGACAACAGTTAACATATGTGCCCTTCTGGCAGCTGCTTTATATGGAACCCCAGAAAGGACTTGGATGCTATACTATGTGCAAGCTGCTGTTGTTACCCATTAAGCTCTCTTGTGTATGAATGTGTGTATTCTGGGTACATGATACACAGCAGCTTTACCTACCTGTATCTTACCTTGTGACTTCAAACATTTCTTAATTAAAATTTTTGTATTAGCTCCCAGGATCACAGCAGAATTATTTCACAGTCCTGCTTTCTGATCTCCATTTAATTTGAGAGATCAGTGGTTAAATTTTCTATTTTGTGAACACAAATCACGTGTCCTGACACTAAGCTGTTAGTAGAACACTGCTGTAGATTGGTGGGAGGGGGTATACCAAATGTTGGAGAAATAGTGGAAAACATTCATCTTAATTCATACAGTAGACACATGAAAGTTTCTTCTAGATATTCGGATCAGTTCATGAATATCTGAAGAATCAGTGAAGATGAATACTTGCAACTGGGTTGACTTATTTTTGTCTCTGCGTTCTTCAGGGCATTTGGAAGCCAAGGAAGATTCCAAACCCAGACTTTTTTGAAGACTTGGAACCTTTCAGAATGAGCCCTTTCAGTGCTCTGGGACTTGAGTTATGGTCTATGACATCTGACATATTCTTTGATAACTTCATTATCTGTACAGACCGAGCAGTAGCAGATGACTGGGCTAATGATGGATGGGGTCTGAAGAAGGCAGCTGATGGTGCTGCTGAGGTGAGAAATAAAAGATTTGCTTCTTTCCATGATTGTGACAAGGTGAACTGGAGAATTGTCTCCATTTTGCTCTTCAGAAGATTTGCACGTATGTCATTGCTTATGCATATTTGTGCTCAGGAGAATGCACACAAAATTTTATGTTGAAAAAAACACTGTGGTTGATGACATTATCAGCCTTATGCAGCATAATATGGAGCAGGATTTTGGCCACTATTTTAGTTTTCTGGTACAAAAGTGATTTTACAAATGACTCTAATCATTTAAAACTGTTGTGAAATTATATTCACTATTGTACTAATTGTGACCCTTAGCATGATAGTTAGTGTTGATGTATTGGATGTGAGACCTGCCCTACTGGATGTTAAACTGGGTGCATACAAGCTGAGATTCTAACTTGTCTTCTAGCCTGGTGTTGTGAGCCAGATGATGGCAGCAGCTGAAGAGCGTCCTTGGCTTTGGATAGTCTACATCCTGACTGTGGCTTTACCTGTGTTCCTTGTTGTTCTCTTCTGCTGCTCTGGAAAGGTATGTAACCTAGAAATAGCTGGTTTCCAAAGTATGTTGGGTAACATCAAGATACAGTTTGATACAACTATTCTAAATGTTTTCTATTTTAATTAAGAATATTATATTGTATTCTCAAAGGCTTTCACAGCCGGGATCTGATGGTTGCTGTGGGTTTTTTGGGCTCTTTGGCTGTATTCTGAAGGTGGTTCTTCTTAACGTTTCGCCAGTCTCTGTGGCCAGCATCTTCAGAGGACAAGAGTCAGAACAGAGCACAGACAGCGTTCTGACTCCTGTCCTTTGAAGATGCCAGCCACAGAGGCTAGCAAAACGTTAGGAAGAACAACCTTCAGAACATGGCCAAAGAGCCCAAAAAACCCACAGCAACCAATATTATATTGCTCTTTGTGTTTTATTTTATGAGCTGCAACAGGGAGGCATGCTTTGCCTTGAAAGGCACTATCGAAATGTTTGACATCAAATAAAAAAATAAAGAAGTGGTCATTCTCTGAGAAACTTATTGTTGGAATTTTTCTGGTATATCTTTCAGAAACAACCAAGTGCTGCAGAGTACAAAAAAACAGATGAACCTCAGCCAGATGTAAATGAGGAAGAGAAGATGGAGGACACGAACAAGGGAGAAGCCAAAGAAGAAGAGGAAGAAGCAAAAGAAGAAAAGCCAGGTATTCATAGTATGAGATATTCTCACTGCTCTTGAGAATGCTGATTGTTTTCTACTTTAAAATGTAGAAACTAGTGCTGGTGGAGAATGGGGAGGTGAATAAATGATCTGCAGAAAACGCAGGTAGCCTCCTTTTTTTAGTAAAAAAAATTAAATATGCATTTCAGCAGAGAAGAAGAATGATGGTGATGCAGGAACTGCTAGTCAAGAGGAAGAGGAGGAAGAGGAAGAGGAGGAGGAAGAGAAGGCAGAGGAAGAAGATAGTAATCCTGTTACAGAGGTAAACATATTTAAAAATATTTGCACTGGATGAAGAATAAGCTTAAAAATACTGAAAGTCTTTCTGGAAGATTACATTGCAGTGCTTCCTAAATCATTAATGGCCTCCTCACTACTTTCTTTGATGGAATCATTTGGGCATCATAGCCTGTGAATCAGTGCTGCAAATTTGAAAAGCTGATTAACATTTCTCTTAAGATCATATTTCAATATGAACGTATTGATTTCTGTAAACTGCTGGCAGTTGATGTGAGTGTAATGTGGCCAAAAGGTTGTGAAGTGATTTTGCTGATTGAAACGGTTCCAGCTGCAGAACTGACATGGATAGTTCCCCCATGGCCCACCACTAACACTCAACATTTGCTATGGATGGCTGGAAAACCCTTCAGAACAGGTTTTCAAATGGCAAAGATGACTGTTGGAAGAAGGAAAGGAAGCTAAAGTCCCATTGGAATAGATGAAGTATCTTATTGCAGCATTGGATTTAACTTGGTATCTGCAGAGGTTTCAGAATTATGGGTATTTATAAAGTATTAGTTGATTTTTGCTTTGAGCGAATGTTCAAAATATTCAGCATTTTACCAGTGGAAGAGGCTATTTTAAGAGTGCCCCCTGACCATGGAGTGCTGCCAAGGGCAAAGTGAATCACATGAACTCCATGACATACCAATGTGATAAAAATATGTTATTTTTCATTGCATAAGGTATATTTTGAATAGTTTACTTAGTAAAGGATTATTCAAAAGAGGACATGGTAGCCATGAGTATTGAACATTAAATAGAAAACAAAATAAAACCAATCCTTACTATTTTTGTTGTTGTTTAGTCGTTTAATCATGTCCGACTCTTTGTGACCCCATGGACCAGAGCACGCCAGGCCCTCCTGTCTTCCACTGCCTCCCAGAGACTGGACAAATTCATGTTGGTTGCTTCGATGACACTGTCCATCCATCTTGTCCTCTGTCGTCCTCTTCTCCTCTTGACATCACACTTTCCCGACATCAGGGTCTTTTCCAGGGAATCTTCTCATGATATGGCTAAAATATTGGACCCTCAGCTTCAGGATCTGTCCTTCCAGTGAGCACCCAGGATTGATTTCCGTCAGAATGGATTTCTTTAAGGACTTGCCATAGTTTGTTGTGGTCCACACAGTCAAAGGTTTTTGTGTAGTCAATGAAGCAGAAGTAGATGTTTTTCTGGAACTCTCCGGCTTTCTCCATAAATCAGCACATTTTAGCAATTTGGTCTCTAGTTCCTAAGCCCCTTTGAAATTCAGCTTGTACTTCTGGGAGTTCTCGGTCCACATACTGCTGAAGCCTATCTTGTAGGATTTTGAGCATAACCTTGCTAGTGTGTGAAATGAGTGCAATTGTACGGTAGCTGGAGCATTCTTTGGCACTGTCCTCGTTGGAGGACAGTGATTGGGATGAAGACTGATCTTTTCCAATCCTTTGGCCACTGCTGAGTTTTCCAAACTTGCTGGCATATTGGGTGTAGCACCTTAACAGTGTCATCTTTTAAAAATTTAAATAGTTTGACTGGAATGCCATCAACTCCACTGGCCTTGTTGTTAGCCATGCTTTCTAAGGCCCACTTGACTTCACTCTCCTGGATGTCTCGCTCAAGGTCAGCAACCACACTATTTGGGTTGTCTGGGACATCTAGATCTTTATGATATAATTCCTCTGTGTATTCTTGCCATCTCTTTTTTATGTCTTCTGCTTCTGTGAGGCCCCTACCATTTTTGTCCTTTATCATGTCCATCTTTCACAAAAGGTTCCTTTAATTTTTCCAATTTTCTTGAACAGATATCTGGTTTTTCCCTTTCTCTTATTTTCCTCTATATCTTTGCACTGTTCATTTAAGAAGGCCCTCTTGTCCCTCTTTGCCATTCTTTGGAAGTAAGCATTCAGTTTTCTGTAACTTCCCTATCTGCACTGCACTTAGTTTCCCTTCTCTTCTCTGCTATTCTAAGGCCTCGTTGGACAGTCACTTTGCTTTCTTGCATTTCCTTTTCTTTGGGATGGTTTTTGTTGCTGCCTCCTGTACAATGTTACGAGCCTCTATCCAAAGTTTTTCAGGCACTCTGTTCACCAAATCTAATTCCTTAAATCTATTCTATATATCCTCACTATATCTGTACCTATATATAGCTCATCACTGTAAATTTTTCTCACAGTTCTAGATGCTGGAGATAGATACAGTAACTTTAATAAATATCACAGTTCTCTCTGTGTGTATTACACATCTATGGGAGAACAGCCAAATGTAGTTTGATTGGCCTCCGAAAAGGTTAGTCAGTGGCCAGTATCCTCTTGCAAGTGTCCCATCAGCACAGTATGAATGATGTCACTGGCAGTGGCAGATTGTTGCTAATGAAACAGTTCCTTTTCACTTGCAGGACGTGCTCAAATTGTTGCAGTAAGTCAAAGTTGCATACGCTCCAAAATTCAAAAAGAGACTCTTATCACATCATTCCAACAGTGCTTGTGGAGCAAGTGGGTACTGGCCACTGAATTTAAAGCTTTTCCTTAGTGTTTATGTTCATCGTCGTTTAGTCGTGTCCGACTCTTCGTGACCCCATGGACTAGAGCACACCAGGTCCTCCTATCTTCCACTGCCTCCCGGAGTTCTGTCAATTTCATGTTGGTTGCTTCGCAGACACTGTCCAACCATCTCATCCTCTGTCGTCCCCTTCTCCTCTTGCCCTCACACTTTCCTAACATCAGGGTCTTTTCCAGGGAGTCTTCTCTTCTCATGAGATGGCCAAAGTATTGGAGTTTCATCTTCAGGATCTGTCCTTCCAGTGAGCAC